AAAACAATCGATAGAATATAGTTTTATGCATTTATGCTTGCTTTCTTGACTGCCACTTATATGGGCATCAAAAAGATCGGTGACTCTAAACTATAGCAGCCCAAACCGAAACTACCTAGCGAACGGATAAATGACCTTGACAACGACAACTTCGACCAATCAGAAGCCTCTATAAAAAACGGCGTATAATTTTAATAAAACGTTTATATAAAAGTAATGCAATGTTAAAAAATAGTTACAAAGGATAACGTTCTCGTATATGTTCCAAAAAAACCTCCCAATTTCTCATAGGAGTCTTGATACTAATGTTAAACCAAATCCTGCACATAAACTCATTGAGATAACTGTATATCATTGCATTTCTTGATCCATTCACAGATCTGATCCGTTTTTTGAGGTGACTCCGAAAATTTTCGATGGAATTAGTGTGAGTTCCATCGAAGGGATTGATGAAATCATTTGTATGGTTGACGACGTGATGAATATAGCCCAGGGTTGATAGTTGACTATAACTACTCCATTCATCTGTATGAATAGTAGTTCCAGGCAGCACTAATCGTTGGATAATAGGCAATAAGACATCTGCACTGCGATTAGGACTCGCCTCAATGTATCCTTTGTGGAGGGTGGTGTCATATACTCCCAACACCCACTACTGATTTACATTTAACCTGTCTCATCAGCGTGGATAATGACACCAACTTCGCCAAGTACTTGAGTCAGCCTGTTCATTTTCCATGATGTTATGTCTCTGCAGTACTGGTATCATTGCACTGCAGACACTTCTGAATTTTCTGATTCATACGCTGTTGCTGTTACTGGTCTTTTAAGCACCCAGTTATGACACATCATTAAAATTTTCGTTGTAGGTAATTTAGACTTGGCGAAGAAAGTACCTACGGAATCCGTAAACTACAGAAGAACGGTATACCTTCTCGAAATGACTTTCTGATTCGGCACTCATTGCACCTGTAAACAAATCCGTCAATGCACCTAGTGTATCTTTGGATATGCATGACACCTCCACATTGACAATTTTTCGACCTTCCTATCAGTCGGTTCTCCAAAAACAAGATCTGGAGCGAATTTGCAACCTAAAAGTTGTACAGCATCCATAAGTACGCCTGGATAATGTGGAGTCACCTGATTGGTTGCTCAACGTCACTTATCCGTTTTCTAGGTAGTTTCGGTTTCGGCTGCTATAGTTTAGAGTCACCAAAAGATCTTATGGCTACAAATGCTGAATAATTTTGTTATCTGTTGGTTTGTGTGAATTTTTCTGATGTTTTCATGATAACATTTTTTCATCAGATAATAATAATAATTTGCTTTATTCCAGAAACATTACTAGTGGTACAGGGTGGAATTTTCAGCACATATCTACAATTTTTGCATCTAATTTTATCAGACATTTAAAAGGAGTATTAAACAAACAAACAAAAAATAAATCTAAAAACACCAACAGCAAACAAAAAAAAACAGGATAAACACAAACTAATTATAAATGCGAAAAAGTACCAAGAAGTAGAAAGGAAAATAAACATCATATAATAATAACTCAGTATTGGGTAGTGGAGGCAATGATATGATTATGCATGGTGACAGTAAAGCTATGGTCATACAAGAAGTTATGAAATGATATTTAAGAATGTTTATCGCCAAGATGGTCAGTCAATTTGGTTGAAACAACTCTAAACAATCATAAAATAACATTTCATGGTTGTTGTTTTGATTTTTATTGTCAGGTCTAATGCAGTGTTTGTAGTGGTAGTATGAGTAATCCTGAATAATACAAAATTTTTTAAGGTGGTGACTATGGCGTTCACAATCAATGATTGTCAGTTTAATATTGCCGATAAGTATAGAAAATGCTAAAGGCTGGAAAAACAGCAGGACCAGATGGAATCCCACCAGAAGCATTGAAAACGGACCCAGAGACAACAGCGGACTTGATGACGCCACTACCGGAGAAGATGTGGAAAGAAGGCAAAATACCCGAGGATTGGAAGAAAGGATACTTATTCAAACTGCCAAAGAAAGGAGACCTAAGTCAATGCAAGAACTGGCGTGGAATTATGCTCCTGTCCATCCCAAGCAAAATACTAAGCCGCATCATCCTGGAGAGAATCAAACACACCCTGGATGAAAAACTTCGACCGGAACAGGCTGGATTCAGGAGAAACAAGTCATGCATTGATCATATCGCCACATTACAGATCATCATTGAACAAAGCTTAGAGTGGCAGTCACCTCTATATCTCAACTTCATCGACTTTGGAAAGGCCTTCAACAGGCACCGTCGATCGAGAGGTGATTTGGAAACTACTACGCAACTATGGGGTGTCACCGACAATTATACATCTCATCCAACAGCTGTACGACAATGCTGCATGCCAAGTAATCCACAACGGGAAACTTACGGAATCCTTCGAAGTGAGGACAGGAGTAAGACAAGCTGGCTGCCTACTATCGCCAATGATTTTCCTGATTGCAGTAGATTGGATAATGTGACAGACAGCGGGCAATGAGGAAACAGGCATAAAATGGACTCACACAAAAAGAGGCTTGGAGGATCTAGACTTCGCTGATGATATATGTCTGATTTCCCACAAACTGGAAGATATGCAGATGAAAAGCGATAAGTTATCAGAAGAACAATCAGAGATAGGACTTCAGGTAAACATAGAGAAGACAGAGGTGATGAAAATTCCTGGGCAACACCACCAACAGCAACAACAGATAACAATCAGCATAAATGGGAGGAACCTGAAAGAAACAACCTCCTTTACCTGCCTGGGAAGCACTGTTTCAACAACAGGCGGACGGAACTGATGAGGATATCAAAGCAAGAATCGGGAAAGCAAGACAAGCTTTCACTACTCTCAAGTCTGTGTGGAGGTCAACAGCACTCAGCATGAAAAATAAGATCCGGATTTTCAACTCCAATGTGAAGTCAGTCAGTGCTACTTACTATACGGATCAGAGACTTGCACTGCGAGTCATAGAGAGCATCTCAAACAAACTACAGACCTTCATTAACAGTTGTCTTCGATCAATACTCAAGATCAGATGGCCAGCCAGAAAACATCAGCAATAGAGATCTCCGGGAGCGAACCAACCAGGAATCGATTGTGAAACAAATAAGCAGGAAGAAATGGAGATGGATTGGCCATACTCTGAGGAAACCATCAAGTGACATCACTAGACAAGCCATTGCTCGAGTGGAACCTGAAAGGGAAGCGGCAAGTTGGTCTTCAGTGTGAGGGTGACTTGGAGGAGGTCATGTGAAGAGGAGATGAAAACGTGTGGGCAGACATGGAGCCAGGTGAAGACTCTAGTAGAGAACAGAACGCAATGGAGACGTGGGTGGCTGAAGCCCTATGTTCCTGTAGGAATTAAAGGATACAATAATAATAATAATAATAAATAAGAAAAAATAACCACAAAACTAATAATTACATGATGGTTAATGACAGGACAATTTTGTAATACTCATAGTGCTAATAGAGTCGGAACCAGTGGATACACAATAGAAGGAATATAGTAAAGTACAAAAAAAGTAAGCCAATGTTAATAATTTAGGTAGCTAAGTATGTTTGAGAAGGAGTTCACTAAAGAATACAAAATAAGAGAGAAATAAAAGAGCCTGAAATTATGTCGTTAATAACAAAGCAAGTCATAGGTTTCAGGCTTAACATTGTCTCTGTCACTTAGAACACGGGCCAAATATGGTATCGTTGAGTTCCTGTACTTGGTTGTACGGGCATAGATTATTTTATACTGATTTCTGGTTTTACTTGATGAGATACAAGGCGAGAGTTGGGAATAGAGGGGGTGTTGGGGGTCGGAGAGTATGGGTTTTGGCCATCTTTCGCATGTATTCAGATGCCTATCAACTAAAGTAGTGACGAGCTGACTGAGTTTTACACCACTGGTCCTACTGACTACCTTCAACATCCTTCTCCGGATGACATAGTCCTTTTTCAGTGGACCAGGAAAGATTAACGGGGAGCAGTAAAGTAGAATAGGTAAGATACAAGAGTTGACAAATTGTGAAGGTAGAGGTTGGGTGATTCCAGATTGTCTAAGTTTCTTAATGTAGTAGGTAAGACAGAACACTTTTTTAGAAATTGTTAGGATATGAGATGTCCAAGTAAGGTCAGAGGATAGAACTAGACCGAGGTATTTTGCATTAGACTTAGTTTCAATTTTCGTCCCCTCAATGCAACAGACTTCATGAGAATTTACTAGTGTTTGTAGATCTCGTTTATGCCTAAGGGAGAAGTCAATAGTCTGGCACTTTGAGGGATTCAGCATGAGACCATTTAGTTTGGACCACTCACTGATGTCCGACAGAAAGCTATTTAATTTGAAACAGTCTGACTGAGATTTAATGGGAAACGATACAGACAGGTCATCTGCATATTTGACGAAGTTGATTTCATCTGAGAGAGGTAAATCATGTAAGAAGAAGGGAAAGAGAAACGGAGAAAGAACAGCACCCTGAGGAACTCCACCTTCAGTAAACATAGGAGAGGAAGATACACCATTATATACCATGTACTGCATCCTATTAGAGAAGTAAGAGTGTGGCGAGTTGATAGCCCAGGGCTCAGTTTGTGTAAGGCTAAGCTTGTTTAACAATAGGCCTCTAGGTACTGCGTCGTAAGCAGATGTATATTTTCTTTTTTGTTACCAGTTCGTATAATTTATTCTTGTGTTGAACCTACCTATCTTCATATGTGGCCTTGTATTATTTTGATTCTCATTTGCATTTCTATAAGAAAGGCCTTCACTGCTTCGTTGGCCATATGGCGATGAATCAAAGATACACTAGGTGCATTGATGGATTTGTTTACAGGTCATTTGTGAGCTTTGTCACATGACCAGTATGTGCAATCCAATCAAATTTAAGATAAGAAATATAGTGTCATTTTTTAACCTTTAATTTAACCAATTACATTTGAGTATTTGATTTATGACCTTTAATCGATTTTCTAGTTTGGTATATCTGTACAATTCACACAATGTATTTATTATCAGACCTAATCTACGACGTTTTCTCTTATCTAGTTTTGGCAAGATGGCTACAACTTACCAATTACCTGAAGTTAAATATACTCAAGTGAGTTGTTTGAAAAGTTAAACTTTTGGTTGTTTTTTTAAAATATTTTATCTAAAACAATTAGTTCCTTTTATAAATTTGGATAGCGTTATAAGAAGACGGAAATTATCTGAAAAACGATGTGATGTGTATTTGTGCTATACATTTCGAGCAACAATCTGATCCCTCACACATTTACTTGTCAAGTCGATATATATGAAAAAGTTAAAGTAAACAAAGTGACAAAACAAAAAAAGGATTTAAGAATGATTAACACAACGTTTGGTAATCCAAATAATCCAAATTCAAATAAGGATTACCAAGGTAGGTGAAGAGTAATAATAAACTGTATTTGAATACACACGGGGGAGGGGGACTTAAGTTTATAAATAGCTGTAGCCTCGGCGTATTCCTTCGACCGTTTTTATAGATGACTGTAAGGGCTGAGTTAACATCAATCTTATGGTTCATCTCGATTAGGTGTTAAGCTATAGACGAAGGTGTTGGTAGTCTGACACCTGCATCTATTGGTTTTCCACAATTCATTTGTATTTCTAGTCATTTTGGGATATGCTCGCTGCCCCACCGTCACATGCAAAGCGCGATTACTCATTTCATATATATCGACTTGACAAGTAAATGTGTGATCAGATTGTTCGAAATGTATAGCGCAAATACATCCCAAATTTTTTTTTTTTTTTTTAATAATAATTTGCTTTATTCCAAAACAGTACTTGTGATACAGAATGGAATTCTCAGCATTTTTACTACAGTATTGCATCCAGTTAGTACATTGTCAATAAATAGAATTCTACATAGATTGAGGAAACCACAGTTCATTATTACAACAATACATTGGCATGTTCAGTAGCAAAGGTAAAGCTGAAACAGTGTTTGAAGGTGTTAGAAAAGTGGGAGCTGTCTTGTTAACTGGCGTAAGCGAAAGAAAGAGACAAAGCAGCACATAACGGAAAAAGAAGAGAGAGGAAAGGAACAGAAAGAAAGGAAATGTTGAACCTATTGATGAAGTGGGTTGGAAAGATGAGATCCAGTTGTACTACTGACTATTTAATGAATTATAGGTGTCACGCCTAATGCTTTCTTTATCACACAGAACGCGAGCTAAGTAGGGTATGGTTGAGTTTTTATACTTGCTGGTACGAGCATATAGTTTTCTATATTGGCTTCTGGTTTTACCTGATGAGATGCAAGGGGAGAGTTGTGAGTGAAGAGGGTGGTGTGAGTTAGATAAAATGGACTTGGCCCATTTTTCACATGAGTCCATGTGCCTGTCAACCAAAATATTAACAAGCTGGTTAAGTGGCACGTTGCTTACTCTGCTGACAACATTTAACATCCTGCGTAATATGTTGTAGTCTTTCTTCAGTAGCCCAGGAAAAACTAAGGGGGAACAATAGAGAATAATAGGCAGGATGCGAGAATTAACGAATTGTAGGAGTAGGGGTTGGGTAATACCAGAATGTTTTAACTTCTTAATGTAGAAGGCAAGACGGAATATTTTCTTAGAAATTGCTAAGATATGAGACGACCAGGAGAGATCAGCAGATAGAATGACACCTAGGTATTTAATTTCCGATTTAGTTTCTATTTCAGTGCCGTCTATTTTGCATACCTCGTGAGAGCCAAACAGTTTGTTTAGGTCGGATTTATGCCTAAAGGTGAAATTGACTGTTTGGCATTTGGAAGGGTTTAGAGTAAGACCATTTTCCTTGGACCACTGGTTGATTTCTGACAGAAAGCCATTAAGTTCAGAGCAGTCGCTTTGACATTTGATAGGCAAAGATGCAGACAGATCATCAGCGTATTTGACAAAATTAATGTCATTTGAAGATGGTAAGTCATGTAGAAAGAAGGAAAAGAGAAGTGGGGAGAGTACAGCGCCTTGGGGGACTCCGGCTTCAGTGAGTGCAGCAGAGGATGATTTACCTTTGTATACGGTGTACTGCTTTCTGTTAGAGAAGTAGGAATGCAACCAGTTAGTGACCCAGGACTCAGTTTTCGTCAAAGAGAGCTTATTTAGAAGGAGACATCTAGGAACAGAGTCGAAAGCAGAAGTGAAGTCAAGAAACGTGCAGCGGACGTATTTAGCACCTTTATCTAATGATGAGACAATGTTGTTGTGTAAGACAGCTGCAGCATCTAATGTACTCCTACCCTGTCTATAGGCAAATTGTTTTGGGTCTTCGAAGTTTTTAAGGGAGGGTTCGAGTTTAAGAAGTATTAGTTTTTCCATAACCTTTAGAAACGGGGAAGTGATGGCAATGGGTCTGAACTTTACGTTCTTGCCATTTCCAGGTTTAGGGACAGGGACAATTTTGATGTCTTTCCATGCATCAGGTACGATATTTTTGGAGAAAGAGGCATTTAGGATGTTGGTTAGTGGAGAACACAACACATCTGCACATTGTTTTAGAACATAGGCAGGTATACCATCAGGACCTAGGCTACGTGAGGGCTTGAGTGTTTTAAGACATTTTAGAACATCGAGAGTATTAAAGTCATGAAAGTTTTCAGCAACATGATAGGTAACATTAGAGGTAGTTAAAGTAGAAGGACAGCGTATAAAAGACTGATTAAGAGCATTAACATCATAAGAGGGAAAAGTATTACAACGCTTACTATTACCAGTAATTTCATTAAAAAGTTTCCACATACTGATTGGAGATTTACATGATAAAAGTGTATCATTATATATAGCATTAAGATTTTTGATTTCAGATTTGATCTGAGCATTAATCTTTTTGAGTCCTAACTTGTCTTTGGATTTGTACAAAGTTTCTTTTTTCCTGCGAAGTTGTTTGAGATAAGGAGATGAGAAGCGGTCGAGACGTTTGAATAGAGTTTGTTTGGGACAACATATATCAAGGCAAAACTTGAGATAATCCGTTATATTGACGATTGTGTCATCTAATGAACTTTCATGGAATAAGTCCCAGTTAGTATTTTGTAACATGCACCTTAGATTGAGTAAGTTTTCGGATGAGTAGCATCTTTGTTGTGCTTTCATAGACAGATGCGAGAAGACTTTAATGTGTGTTTTGCTGTAAATTTTTGGTAGAACACGAACAATAGAGTGATCAGAGTTGAGGATCGGTGCACGTTTACGTGCTTCATAGATTCCTTCGTCATTTGTAAAAACTAAATCCAGTGTTTTGTCTAGTCGAGTGGGAAATTTGACAATGTTAGAGTGACCAAGTGCTTCAAGGAAGGAGCAATCTGACGAGTTGAAGTCCCCAGTAATAACAGACAGAGAGTTGTCGAAGTTGGCAGCGGCGAACATGGTGAATTCATCGGCAAAACTTGAAAGATTAGATAGTGAGCAACTTGGAGAAATGTACATGTTTGTGATAAAGATGTGTTTATATTTGGGGAGATGTTTGGGACGACATTTGACGGTGATGCAGTCTATGAAGTCATTTGAGAATGAGAAGCAAACATTATTAGAAATAGACCATTTTGAGTTAATAAAAGTTGCAACTCCACCCCCGCTTTTCTTATTACAACATATTCGGTCTTGTCTAAATAGGATGAAGTCCTTTAGAGAGATGAGATTGTCATCGTACAGTTCGTGTAACCATGTTTCTTGTAATGTGATTATCGCAGTATTGTGATAAGTGTCAGTGGACATCAAAGATTGTAGGTACATAATTTTGTTAGGCAGAGAGCGGCAGTTGGTGTTCATTATGACAGGGACCGTGGTTAAGTGTATTGGTGTACGTTTAAGAGCTCTTTGCCAGCCACTACGATGCTTCCTCCTTGGCTTCTTGGGAATATGAAAGTCATTGGGTCGTAAATGAATGATAAAGTTGCGAGAGTAAATAATCCTTTTGGAATTCATATTTGGGTGATAAATAAATGGAGTAAATGGTAGGTTGGATGCAATATGTATATGTATATGCAATATGGTTTTCAGATAATCTCCGTCTTCTAATAACTCTATCCAAATATTTTATCATTCGATCTGGTGTGATGAGTGACAGCATATGGGAATTTTCACAGTGTAAATTCCTATAGAAGAGAACACGAATTTCAGCAAAGATATCTGCCTTTTCGGCGATTTCATTTTCAAAGGCTGTACAATCGCATTTAAATACATAAATTTACATAGATACAATTTGTTTACTTGAGTCCACATAATTACGAAGGCGAATGAAAGGTGACAATTATTTTCAACTAGATATAGTTTACGAGAGGCTTAGAAACAAAATTGCACAGGATCAGAACGAATTTTTTTTTATCCTTCACGTTCCCCAGTGGAACATAGGGCTTCAAGCTAGTGACTTGAAGTTTCTGTAGCAATGTTTTTTACAGGATGGGGTTGCTAGCCTCATGCCCAACCTTTCCTCTTCACCAGCATTATTTCTGGCTTAGCGAGGTAAAGGAGTGCGTCGGCCGTGGTTCGAACCTTGGACCATGTGCATGGTCGGCGAGCGTCCTAACCGCTATGCCACTGACGCACGAACTAATTACAAGTGCGTAAAAAATGAGCATCGAAACAAATTGAAATAATAATTTTCAACTTGCAAGTTTGTTTCCATGCTCGTTCGCTACACACTTGTAATTCGTTCTAATCCTGTGTAATTTTGTTTCTAAGCCTCTCGTAAACCATACCAAGTTGAAAATAATTGTCACCTTTTATTCGCCTTCGTAATTATGTAGAATCAAACCAGAATTGTATCCATGTAAAATTATGTATTTGAATGCGATTGTAGAGCTGCTTTTGAAAATGAAATCGCCGAAAAGGCAGATATCTTTGCTGAACTTCGTGTTCTCTTCTCTCTAGTGTCCTTATGGGTGTTTTCCACGATCTAAATTCGTATAGACAAAAATTACATTCATTTAGCGTCTTTCTTTTGATGACCATTGCTATTATTATTTATTATTTCCTTGGATCACAAGTGTTCTCTGTTCTCATAAGTCTTTCAGCTGGCTTCACAATTGTCCATAAACTTTTATTTTCTACTCCGACGATCGTTTTCATGTCACCCTTGGATGCACTC